CTTCTCTGGAGAGGGCGTAACAATTTCTATCCGCTGTTACTGTAACGATAGGTCGAGCCTAGTTTGCGGAAGAGTCGAACGATTGCACCAGACTGATGAAATATTTATGGGCGAATCCCGGATTGAACTGTCTGCAAAAGATTTTCCACTCTTCATCCTAACTCCAGTTAGTATAATCTATATGTACCTCGACCGACTCGTCCACTTGCCTGTGCAAGAACAATCGAGAGTGAGCAACTAGAGTTCAGGCCATTGTTGATATCACTAGATAATGGGGACAGAAGAGAAACTCTGGGGGGCACCATCTGTAGAAACCATGACGGGGTTTTATTTTGGACTAGATGAATCCTCGCTTAATTGTGATAGATGTGCAGTTTGGATGGCAAGTACTATCAAGACTGCTCAGGTGGGTTGGCAATATTCAATCTACTACAACTATTAGTCCCCGGCAAATGAGCAAAGCATTCATATGTTTCTCCAGCTCGGATGATAAGACTATCTTGGTTCTTTTTCATTTCTTATAATGTGAAATTGATTACTATGAACAATTAGGCATCTCTTGCCATTTCGGGATTAGCGTTATTATCAACAGTCCTAGATATAAGAAGGGATGGTTACCTGTATACTCTTTCATCCTCTCGAGTTATTCTCTCCAGAAATCCCTGTGTTCGAACACGTCCATATACCTCTCGGCGCAAACATCAAACCTGCGGCATGGCGTCCATAGGCAGCCTTTCCGATATACGGAAAGAGATCTTGGAAAATGACATTGCACAGCGAATTGTGATTAAAGTGAGGACCAAAACACTGGATTCTCAATTATCTCGCCTCAGCCAAGGGAGTTGTTAGTGAGGTTTTGCCTGGCTGAGCTCTTATAAGATGTCCCTTCACAACGTCAATGATTGGGATGTCAAAACGTCATCCATAGACCACAAAACACGTATTGTGTACGCCAATCCCCGCAATCTTTATGAAAAGAGGGCTATCAAGTTCTCTTAGCTTACATTCTCGCATCCTCACTGTTCTATTGGATCACCCGGAGCCAAATCGTGTGATGTATCAGGCTGGCAATACAGCAGGATAAAAACATGGTTTCTCACATGTCTGTTATGCATTCTTTTTCTTACTATGGTATGAGACATAAGTAGCCAATATCTTGTCTTGAGTGTGGAAACCATGATCGGTAAGAGGATAAGAATAACGGCTCCGATCTACAAAGGACTAATAACACGAAGATGCCAGTACTATGACTTATTAATACTTCTGTGATATCTTTCCATATAATGCATGCCTGGGAACAATACCGTAGGCCACTCGATACGGTAATTTACCAGGCTTCCCCTCCTCTTCCCATCTGAACAACCCATCCTCTTTCTGTGTCTGTCAACACTCACGTCTTCAACAGACATCTGCCAGAGACTCTGAAAATGCCAGACTTCCAGTATACACATGCTATACACTCCATACCCTGGCTGACATGCCCGCTCCCACTAGACCGAAGTCGAGACCAAAGAAAAAAGCCATTGGTGCCAGTTCATCTCCCACATGCGACAAATTGAAAGCCATGAGCGCCATATACCTATATCATTGACCCATATCGCTCTTCCAACCGGTGTCCCGTCTCTCCGCATCTGGTTCCGATGACGAGGAAGCTATGGCCCCCAATCCCCATAAAACGCCATTGAACTTTGTACGCCGTGAGTGCGAGCGACTTCCGGATATTCTGAGGCCTTAGCATTTTCTATGGACTACCCCGGGTCACTGGAAGTGTTGCGATAGGTACTTCGTAAAGGCGCCAGGAACGGCGTTGGCCCGATTAGCCAGGCACCCGAAACAGTCACCTGAGCTGATAAGCTCCTTTTTTTTTCGCCACTTTTTTTTGGGGGCATATTCCTCCACCAGAGTTTAGTTCCAGGACTTTCTTTTCAGTGTTGCTCTGCGCTTACCCTGGAGTTTCATTCAACACCGAATTTCCCCAGATTTGAATCTGTGGGTAGCATTTCAAGGATAGGACTAATTTCCAAGGACGTTTCCGTTCGCTTGGCCACCCGTGGTTTTACTGGATTTTAAGGGGTCCAATTATTTCCCCCCACCTCGGTTTCCCCCTTTTATCTTGAAGAATCATTTCAACTGGACACTTTTTTGGCTAGGAATTGCTTTTGCAACTGGTCGCGTGCTCAAGAGATAAGACTTTTGAGCCTCCGTGTCTTGGCTTACCCGACCTATTTTTTTTCTTTTTCAGGTAGGCTCTCCTTTCCATCTGCGACTCTCGTGTAGTTAGGGAATCAACTGTATCGCTGTTCTTATACACGTTGTCCCCTTGTAATTCCATCTCGGAGGCGACTTGACTCTCGCCTCACCCCACTCGACTCATTCGTTCTTAATTCCAACTAATTCCCAACAGATTCGTCTACGGCAACGGACTTGAATATCAGCTCTTTGACTAAGGCCTTGCAAGTGGAACTGTTCAAGGCTCCCCTGCCAGACAGAACACATCTGAAATAGTATTGGGCTCACAGTCCCCAAAGCCCATTGCGCAACCATCATTCACCATGCCTTCTCTGGACGATCACTCGTGTTGCAACCATCGCGAGGACCACGAGCATCACACCAGATCCGAGGAAGATCCCCAGCAGGCTCTATTCCACCAAGTATACGAATGGCTTCACCATGAGAAAGTCAGACGACAGAATCGTAAAGCACGAAAAGCCGAATCACCCTCCCATGCAACAAACCAAAACGAATCAGCTGCAGAAGATGATACTTTAGAAAGACCCAGCTCAAACACCTCGGAGAACACCTTTTCCCTGGATAAACTGGAAAAGATCCTCCTCCAATATGCGACTACCCGACCCACCAGTGCAATGGGCTTGACCCACAGACAACCTGTCAAACGGCACTCTCGACACCGTCTCAGAGGCCTACGACGAGGCTCGGCATCCGAGTCGGAACTCACAGATGCCGACGGGGCGCCGCCAAGCGTGGAAGCTGTCCTTGACAATACAAAGACACTTGCCTACACCGGTGGCGCTGCAGTAGAAGAGATCGCCGACTCCAGTGCGAGTGTGAAACAAGCAAAGGATGCAGAGGCCTGGGTTATTTTCAAGTCCGAGATCGTGCGTCTTGTGCACACTCTACAGCTTAAGGGCTGGCGCAGGGTTCCCGCGGATCTGGCGGCAGAGATTGAAGTGGTCAGACTCAGCGGTGCTCTTACGAACGCCGTGTATGTAGTTGAACCACCGAAGAACCTGCCTCCTCCCAAGACCGATAGCAACAGTCTGGTTTCAAGGAAGCCCCCGCCGTAAGCAACAAATTGCCTTCCTTTGGAAACACAGCTAATCGGATTTACAGGAAGCTTCTCTTGCGTATCTACGGTCCTCAGGTCGATCATCTAATCGACCGAGAGAATGAGCTGCAAATTCTTCGTCGCCTCGGAAAGAAGAACATTGGCCCACGCATTCTCGGAACTTTCCGTAATGGCCGATTCGAAGAGTACTTTGAGGCTCGTCCACTCACTCCCAAGGAGCTGCGGATGCCCGAAACGGCGAAGCAGGTTGCCAAGCGGATGAGAGAATTGCATGATGGCGTTGAACTTCTCGAAGAAGAACGCGAAGGCGGTCCTATGATCTTCAAGAACTGGGATAAGTGGGTGGATCGTTGCGAGCAAGTGATGAACTGGCTGGACAAAGAAATCGAATCCCCTCAGAATGAGACCAAGGCTGCACTTGAACCATGGCGTCGTCGCGGCTATGTCTGCGGCGTAACGTGGGATGTGTTTCGCAAGGCCGTGGAAAAGTACCGGGAGTGGCTGGTTACCAGCTCTGGTGGAAATGCCGAAATCAAGCGACAGCTTGTATTTGCACACAATGATGTGAGTTTCCATCTCTTCCACATGTCTTGGCTATGTTATTGACTTGTTGTCTAGACTCAATATGGCAATCTGCTTCGGATGGAGCCGGCCACGGAGTCACCGCTACTTTTGCCTGCAAATGAACACAAGCAGCTGATCGTTATCGACTTTGAGTACTCTTCTGCCAATACACGGGGCCTCGAGTTTGCCAACCACTTTGTAAGTCCATCAAGCTGACCGCCAATCCAAATGGATGCTAACTGCAACAGACCGAGTGGTGCTACAACTACCACGACGAAGAGCGCTCATGGGCTTGCAACAACCGCACCTACCCGACACCGGAGCAGCAGTACCATTTCGTGTCAACCTACCTTACCCACCGACCATTCAGCACCAGCGGAGCTATTTCACCTCTGGCCTCGCCGACCATTCGCGCTCGCACTTCTGCTGTGATTGCACCATTGGACTTGGACGACGTGTCCGATAGACCCAGCTCTCGCCATTCGCAAATCGAGCAGTCCAAAGAGGCTGAACTAGACGCAGAGGTACAATTCCTCATGCAGCAGACCCGGATGTGGCGGGCGATGAACTCCGCGCAGTGGGTGGCTTGGGGCATCGTCCAGGCCAAGGTGCCTGGCATGGAAGAAGGTATTGCCGAGATGCTTGCTGCTCGCAACGGTGATGGCCCTAAGACGCCTGCGGAAGCGGATGTCGAAGAAGATGACGGAGACTTTGACTACCTAGCTTACGCGCAGGACCGAGTCATGTTCTTCTGGGGTGATCTGCTGTCACTGAATCTGATTAAACCAGAGGAACTGCCTGCGCCTCTATTGGAACATGTCAAGTCACGACTTGTCGCATACTAGGAATTGGAGAATTAACGATAATCTTCACGGAGATTTGTTCATACACATTATCATGATGTACAATGTGGACGCCAGTATATACTGCGTCAAATCGGTGATTTATCACACCTACATGTATCTACTACACTATAGCGTTGGGGTTTCAACATCATCATCGAATACCAAATCTTGTCTTATTTTATTTCGATCATCATCTCCCAAAGGGTATCTGGAATGCCACTGTAGAAAAAAAAAATCAGAAATAGAAAAAGATAGCCCAAGGATGTCCACAGGTGTCCAAGTCTCTACCGACGCATCTCAAGCTTCTTCCTCGTCTCCCTCTTCGCACCCTCAACCCACTCCTCATAGGCCTTCCCCTCGGGATCCTTCTCCTTAACCCCAACAACCCCCTTCATAAGCTCCCCAATAAACCCAACAAAATTATGCCGTCTCAGCGTATTCTCCCACTGCCACGCAGCCCTCTTCCTCTCCTCCCTCTCAAGCGTCTCCACATCCCCAATCTCCCTCGCCCTCCCCCTCGGGTCCCTCACAACAGCCATAAGATTAAAATGCGTTTCCTCAGGCGGATATCTCGCAATCCGCCTCTGCAAAACCTCAATCACCTTCTCAGGGAATTCCCCACTCCCACACTCCCCATGGCTGATAGGATACGGCTGCAACCCATCAAGCTCATACAACGTCCCGTTCACAGGCGTATACGCAATGAAATGGTAAACGTCCGCTCCCTTCTCGTCATCCTGGGGCCGCGCCGTCTCATCCGCAAACGGACTCGCCCGCGCAAAGCTGTTGTGTGCGCTGCGAATTGCTTCCGAGTTCGAGAGCGCTTCACCGCGGAGCTCGGGCGGGAAGCCCGTTGTGAACTCTTTGAACGAGCGGAGCTCGTCGCCAAGGGTGATGGCTGGTTGCGGGGAGGTGGGGTTGTCGTGGTTTAGGATTACGGAGAGGATTGCTTGGGTGCCGCAGGCGTTTTGGATGGTTTGGGTGGCGAAGAAGAGGTTTTCTGGGGCTGTTTGGTCGTAGGTTCCGTCGAGGGGGACTTCGGCGCGGGCACTGTTTGTTTCGCGGGTCCATTTGAAGAGGAAGATTACGCCGTAGACGGGCCTGTTGGGGTTGTTAGCTTGGTCTGAAGCTTCAGTAGAGAAGAGTCTGGATGAGGTGACGATTTTGGGAGCGGTTCTTGCTTACCCGAGTGACCGGATTGTGTCTGCATCTAGGGAGATGAGTTCTTCGAATTGGGTGTCTTTTACTCCGAGTGTCTCGACCAGAGAGGTGAAGAGACCCTAGCTCAGGTTAGTATGGTGCTTGGGTAGATTATGGTGGCGATGGTACCTCATCTGACTCGATGGTGCTCCAGCCACCTACATCAGCCATTTTGACTGTCTGCGATGGAAGCTGAGGGTAATTGAATGGAAGTTGTTGTGTTGTCGATATCGAGGTTGCTTTCTTCCCCAAACGGGAATGCGGTTATGTCATTGTCACGTGAAATGACAGCCTCAAGTCACGTGTATATCCACCATGAAGTATAGGTGACTTTAATTCCTAGCAGGTTGGAGAGCACGCAAGAAGCAATTATAAAACTGTAAATATATTGATATTTAGGTGAAACGAATAAGGCTTTTATGAGGCTCAAGATTCCACTTGGGGCAAAGATGTACCCTGGACGTAGGAGGCCAGAAAGAGCAGATACTATGTAACTATCAGTAGAAGTGATTAGCTATACTTGTTCCTCAATTTTGAAGGAACGATGTAACGCAACTCCAAAAGGACTGACAGGATATCTTAGACAGGGAAACAAAAAGCAGAACCAGCGGTAAACTCCGCTCTTCTGGGGAGTTAATGAACAGAAAGGAAACGGAATGAACAGGCGGGCATGACCGATCTCCAAACCGAAATTAGTTCAAAGTAGACCTATTACTAGATACAACAAAATCCTCCCATTACAACTACGCACAGACGAAGTAGCATTGACCATCTGTTAGTGCAAGGCCAAGACGAAGAGTGCCATCGAAGACGTGAACACCATATTCCCATTCAATCTCCGCATCCGACAACCGTACGGAGTATTACCCACAAATAGAGTATAAGAAAGAGCCCCAAGACCGAGTATGCAATTTTAGGGAAAAAGGAAGATAAATATAGAAAACACGAGGGGGGGGGGGGGGACGATCACTAACCCAATTCCAATTCCGGGTTCTGCGAGCCCAATGAATTCCTTCCAATAGACCCTGGATCTACGCGAAGATTGTAGATAAAAACCCAAAATATCCAATCAACACATAGGGCTACAATTCCTGCAAAAGAGGATGTCATACTCCATCTGTCAATGCATGAAGCAATACGGAGTCTACTATGTTAGACTCAACCTCCGATGCCAACAGTCCTAGCCCCCAGTTCAAATTCTTCTTGCGCTTTTACCTTAGACTCTATATATTGGATGTCATCATCTCCACATCTTCCGAGGTCCCAAATCGGTACTAGCTCGGGGACATCCTGCCGCATTTGGACGGATCGTGAGAAGCGAAGCGAGCGGCTGAATACGAGGTCTGGAGAAGGGTTGTCGGCGGGGGATTAATTGCCAATCAGAGGGATGGATCTGTAGGTTAAATTCGTTTAATATGTGTCCTGTGCTTTTAGATTGTCTATTCTTAGGATCGCGTCTGTGACGGTGGTTACCGGTGGCTACTTTGGGGGTTTGGGGGTGCCTGTCGATGAGATGCCGCGGTATTGTGCCGTGGGAGTGACGAAGGGGTTGCTATCTTTAGATATGGATGTTATGGGGGTGAGGGAATGATTTTAGCTGGGGTTTGAAGGTCTGCTTCCGAGATGGTTATAATTCTGAATAACGAATAGACACATTATACAACACACAGACAAGTCAATTAACAGAAGATTCGATACAACCAGGGTATATACATCAATATCAAATATCAGTTTGAGTCAATTCCCTCCAGCTTGTGCGAGTATAAAATCCAAACCGAGTAAATCGGACACAAGATCGCACCCCAACGTTCATGCTCAACAAAAAGAAGTTCCGGATATATATAATAAAAAAAAAGAGTCGAGTAGTGAAACCGAAAGACCCAAAAGAAAAGCACATGTTCTCCAGGTCCAATTCCCAGTAGAACATAACTCCGTAGCCTCCATATTTTCAGAAAATGAGAGAGGTATGTCTTCCAATTTCCCTGGTACCCAATAGCCAGAACCCGACTGACCAATCCCGCTCAGAATGGTAGTCCAAAATTTCCCATGTTTTTGTTTCTTTTCCCGGTATAGATAGCTTTATCTCATAAATCACAATCAAGCCCAAAGTGAAGCGGGAGCAGCCAAGCCCGGCATTTCAAATGGATGTGTCTGCGGGTAGACCTCCATATTGAGACCGAGTGTGCCATCCGTGCGTGGCAAATCAGCGCACAGTGCCTCACCACCATACGGCGGGGTGTAAGCCGCCGAATGAGGAATGGGAGAATGATGAGAATGGGCATGATTACCCAGATCCGAGAGACCGATGTGTACATCCTGGTTATCGAGGAGCTGTGGGGAGGGTGGGTATAAGGAATGCGAGGGTGCGGCGGAGACATAGCCGTCTTGGATGGGGAAGGGAGAGTTGGAAAGATTGACAGCAGGAGGGGAATGTAAGGGTGGAGTATAAGCGGCGTAAGAAGGCGAGGCGTAGGAAGTTGATGCGTAAGAAGGTGAGGCGGAAGCAGGCGGGGAAGAGGTGACGAGCGGGTACTCGTGGATTGCGTGGAAAGGACTGGGGGGGCCAGGGGAGTAGTGGTCTACTGATGAGCGGGGGGACCATGGCAGAGAAAGGCGGCTGCGTTGGCGGCTGACAACTCTGCGGGGTAGGTCCATGAGTTCCAGGGATAGACGGAGGTCGGTGTTGAAGGGGTCTGCAGCGTTGTGGGTGGCTATTATGCGGTATATCTCTTCGATAGGACTAATGGATAGAGCACCTAGGTATGTGCCGCCTAGCTCTGGGAAGAAGCGGTCGAGAGAGATGCCGACGGCGAAGAACTGGGCCAGGATTGGGAGGGCACTGATGTCTGATTCTGTGCTTCGAATCATGGATGGTGGAAGCCAGAAGAGCCAGCGGCGGAGGGTTTGGATGCTTTCGAACGATTGTTCGGCTGTTTGGTTGGGGAAGTCATGACGGAACTGCTGGGTGAATTCGATGAGTTCCCCTAGGCGTTGAGAATGCTCGAGATTGTGGGAAATGCGTTTCTGTGTCATTCGTAGGGCCTGGATCGTTTGGTCCAGATGTACCATGTCTTCATCAAGGGGTTGGTAGACACCGGCCATTGAAAGATCTGTCGTGCCCAGTGCTCGTTGACTTTCTACAAACTGTACCAGATCTGACTCTTGCTTCCAATATGGATGCATGGATTCTAGGACGCTGGTGATGCCGTGTTGCAAAGACACCCAACTTTGACTGATCTGGTGTTAGTTGGGGGAGAATTTCTAAGGAACTGATCTATAACACTCACTGTTCTGTCGCCTGCCATGATAGAAGAACCGAAGCTGCAAGAATCGCATCGGAGTTTTCCCTCGAGAAGGACGCCAGAGCGGTCTGCAGTCCCTGGAGAGCGGTGACTTTATGACTGAAAGCCAGTTGTCTGGTCTCCTGGTCCCGCGTAAGGAAAGCCAGATGAAACGCCGAAAAGCTCAAGATAGAGCTCATCACGAAGTCGCTACTCAGCGCAATAGCCAGGAAACTATAGAATGTCACCCGTCAGTAAAGAACGACACCCCCCACCAAGTCTCGAGAGTACTCACTTGGGCATTTTCTGGGCCCAGACAGTGCAACCACTCAACCCTCGACGATGCAAGTCAATAGAAAGCCCAATGATATGGTGAATCAATCGCAAACTAGTCCGTGACAAGCCAGACCACCCGGCTTGTGGACACTGCAAGAGCTCCGGATACGGAGGCAAGCCCGTGCGATGCCAACTATCTATCTCCTTTTCGATATCTGGCGAAATAAGAAGGTCAGGACCGCGACGTGGCGCGGGTGGACTACCACGTGGAGTGGCCGCATCGTGGTAGTCACAGCGGCAGTTGTGCTTTGTGCAATTGCGGCTATATTGAATTAGTCGGGGGATATAGTATGGATTGAAGGCACAAACCATTGCGGGAAAGTCTCATCGCATCGAATGTGTCTTCTCTTGCATGTATTGCAGCCGGTACGGGACTTGGTGTGGCTCCTGCGTGGTGGACCGCCGCCTGGACCGACCATTTTGAGAGGAAATTGGGATTGAACTCCACAGGTGAATGTGAAATGGGCAAGTATGCCCTCTAGTTATAGAAGGAGGAAACCAAAAATAACTTTTGGGGGCCGTTAGAAGTGAATTAAGCACGTGGAGAATACGAGATCTGTGAAGAGAGAGAAGGGGGAAAGAAGTAAGAGGGGGAAGACACAGCTCTAGAGTCAGGCGCAAGATATCTGACTTTAAATTTCAGTCTATTACTAGTTTTTTTTATTTCATTTTCCAGTGACGATCGAGATTTTGAGCCTCTGGGTACCAGGGGGGTAAGCCAAGAGAAACGAAAATAATATAGATTAAAATATAAAAAACGGTCTAATATAGCACTCGGTCATTTCAGTCGGGGACCACATGGGGAAGCTTATATAGGGGTTAGGTCCATCTTTTTAGTCTATATTAAAATGCTCCATGTGGAGATTATTTTCTTTTAGATTTTTTGGCCCTAATATTCTATACATATCTCCGTTGCTTATAGGAGATATAGGACATGCTAAAAGATGCTGGGAGATGCTGGGAGATGCTAGGAGATGCCACGAGATGCCACGAGATGCTTATCAAAAGTCGAACCGAAGAGTCCAGAACTGATGCGTATTCATTCTCTTTGCTTTTTTTTTCCCCCTCTGAATTTCCTCTCTATGCAGGGGGCTCACAGACCCCAGACTTCCCAAAAAAAAAATGATAGAGAGATATAGTAATCGATCGACTTGCCTCCGCCCTTTCGATCTGAACCCTGGATTGTGGGTCACTGTCAATGACCTTTAGCCCTGTTGGGAAAAGAAGAGTCTATCCTAGACGCCATCTCAGACGGGAGGAACTCTTTCGCTAAGATTCAAGATTAGCCTGACAGGCGGAAGACGGCCGTTCCTACCCGCCTGTGAGTCAGATGGGATATTAAACACTGAACTCGGTAATCGCAACCGAATCTCCAAAATACTTTAACTGTATACTAGTCTTGGGGGAAAAAAGAAAAGAAAAGAAACCAACTCTTACGCCCCTGGGAATCTGGGGATTCAAGGCAACGTGTGAACGTTTAGTTCGCAACCAGGGGTGTAAGACCAATCTCTCGGGATCACCGCACATCTTTTTTTTTTTTCTTTCTTTTTCCTGCGCATCCCTTATCCTGACACTAGAGTGAGTTGGCCCCGGAACCACCCTATCTACTTCGGTGAAGTTACCACTGGGCTGGAACGTAGGGAAACCATTTCTGATGAGCCTGACAGTGTCAATCAGCCCAAAATGGGGAAGTAATTTCTAAGCGTACAGGGATATGATTGGTTTTTCCAAGAGAAGAGTTGAAGTTTCATTCCTGCAGGGCCCAGGGGCTGAATCCCATATAGCTAACCTAAAGGGTAATTTAAGGCGAAGTCATCTGAGTATGAAGTCCTCAGATGTGACACCTACCACGTTTTCTGGGGATCAGACGTGGAGTCTAAAGTCGGTGTGCCACCTGGCTCTGGACCTTAGGGATCTGGACCTTTGGCATGACGATTACTCTCCAACACGTGGCACCATACTGATGCCCGGGGTACCCTGATTACATCATGTATGTTTGATAAGTTTGGTTTCCCTCAGGCTTATAAAAAAGAACGGGTCGGAAATGTTCGGGCAAATTTACTTTGCAAGAATATCCAATCAGCATGAGTCTCGCTTGTCGCGACATTTGGTCCAATACGGTAAAGGTTGGGGGCCAAAAGTACTTTTGACTTTCTTTTTCAGTCTAGCCTTTTCTGTAGAATATCGGTTCATGGGTGGTTTTAGTATACCTCCGCGAGGGTACCCTTTCTAGTCTTCAAACACGTCAAACATCACCTGAAACTGCCAAAGTCCCAAGAAAACACAGCCCGTGGAATGATACGCCAACTAACTTTATTACAAGACTTGGGCTATCCTAGACTGTGGGGATTCACTTGTGTAGATCACTGGATTATGTAGGCTCTCTGCAAGGATGTAAATGCCTCTAAGAGACTTTGGATATGTAAAACCCGAAAAGAGACAAGGGTGTCATCTTTGGGGAAAGTCTATTCTTTAAAGGGAAAAGGGAAAATAGCCCAAGAGATCCACGGCCTTGATTCGGCGTACGGAGTACTTGCTGGGTACTAGCCCTAAGCTATAGCACACTTCCCAAATAGAGTCCTTAGCGTCAACCCTGTTTCCCAAGCCACCTCATCTTTATTATCCTTATTGCCCGAAACTAATGCCCGACACTTGATACGTGTGTGAGGCTGACAGCTCGATCGTTCATGAAATCATGACCTTTTACCTGGGTAAATAACACCATCTTTTAGAGACTCGAACAGTATAGGACATATTTCTCGGTATAGCTTACATGAGTATGAGTGTATACAGTCAGACCCTACATCAGGTATTATGATGAAAAAAAAACTATGATGGCAGAGCCACCCGCCTCTACGATTCCAAAATGGCCACAGACATCTACACCATATCGATGTCATTAGAGGCAATTCATACTGAACATTTCGACATATCATGAGCATCACCGTCGATTCTTGTCTCTTCTTTTCTTTCTCGTAATATCACATTGAACAACCTGACTGTTCTCGCATGTCAGGACAACAGACAACAGATAAATTGTATACATTATATCCATCTTTTTATATTTATCATTGGTCCATTCTACCTGATCTACTGCGTCTGATAATCCTCCAATCCGCCAAAATGGGCTTCCATCGATCATCCACGGGCATCAAGGTCAAGGATAAGCACCTCCTCACTGCTTATTGCCAGCGACCTTCCGGGGAAACAAGATATTCAGAGCTAGATCTGGATCAGTTCCTCGGAGCAAAGAAGGGTAAGAACACTCCGATGATCCGTTTTGTTCTATTCTCTATCCTGCCCACCAAACCAGTCACACACTTTGTTCCTCATATCTGATCAGAAACGAATATTGTAGGACAATTCTCCTGGGGCGACCGAGACTTTTCAAAGAGTTCACGCGACGTTGTCTTCAAGCTAGACGGCAGGGACAACGAACCCATGCTGCATGCGCAACTCGATGACGGCTCGGGGAACATCCAAGAGAGCCAGGTGAACCTGGCACATTGCATCAAAAACGATGACGGTCATCTGAGCTTCATGGAATGTTTTTAGTGGCCGGATATCTCCTGCCCGTTTCATATATCTTAAATTGTGATTCGAAATAAAATTGATTTTCAACAGTTTTAGCCATCACATCCACAAAAGTAAAAAGGTCAAGTCTAAAGTCCCAAAGACCGCAACCTAGACTTGTACAACGCATGAGAAGATGACACGGAATATATTGTGGCTGAGGCTGAAAATAAACCCTGGAAAACAAACCTCAACCCCTGACAACACCATATATATGAAAGCAACTCGAATTCGTGAGATATCGCCCGTTTGGGGCATAGCCAACCCGTGCGGAACTCGGGAATCTCCACCGAAGCCAGATACCTCAAGTCCACAATAACCCCATAATATCTGCAAGCCGCAAAAGGCATAGGACCAGAAACCCCCTACAACATAGATAACCCAATGCCTCGGGGCCAATGGCGCGCACTAAGAACCGAGCGCCCGGTACGCTACACAACATTTGCGTGCATCAACGTCTGTCATCGACACATGGCATTTTAATCACAGGGCATAAAGAGTGGGGGGCAATGCATATTGCGGGCGTCCGGGTTCGTGAAAAAGAGTAGTTAAGGGAAAGGCTCGCGTCTTGGTATTTCGGGCGGTTTTTGTCTGAGCGGCCAATCGGTGGGGGGATGGTGTTGGGGAATTTACTTACCGACGAGTTAATTATAAGTTAGGCGAGAGCCGGGATTTGGGTTGGGTTTATGCATATTACCTCTCTTTTGTCTTTTTGTCTTTTTTGACTTTTACCCTGGTTTATCTTAGTATGAACGGGGCTGGGGTTGTTTACCACAGGTTAGGGCTTGGGTTATTAGCAAAAGGGAATATGATTCTGGATTTTCTGTGTACAACATAGATGTGATATGTATGCAGGCCTAGGTTATTGAGGGCAGGTGACTGCGGTGCATAGTGTCTGCATCGTCGATCCAAAAATAAGTCTACAGTTCGGAGATTGCTAGGGCCCTGCTGATCTTAATCTTTTGATTTGCTTTTTCTCCGTCTATTGGTCCAAAGTCTAAGCTTTAGCGAGCGATCTTCTATGGTATGTGCTTTCAAATTACTGCGGGTACATGGTTTGTGCCAAGCACAGTATTGTGAGGGAGATATGTGAACTACATAGGTGTGGTATGCGATGACACCAGTAGTCCACTCATCTGGTTTGTCATGTAGAGACAGATACCTGGGTAGGATTGCTAAAGTACCAAAATTTAGCTAATTGGTTATATTTAACTGGTAATAATGTTTGTCTATACTAAGCCAACGGGTATGGCGAACAATGGACTAGGAAGACGATCTACTACCTATTCAGGACAACCCGGATAAAACTTAATGATGCTTGCTACTAATAAGTTGATTACTTCGGAAGATATTTGGTTCAGCAAGTAGGAAGAGGTCAATATTCGGTAGGTTCATACTAAGCCAGCAAATAGAAACTCTCGCGCTAAAAAGGCATGCTATAGGATACTTCAATGCTGTGTTGAAACACAGCAAATCAAAAATCTACACTCCAAACATCCAAAAAATATTGTTTGAGATCTTCTTCATTAACAACGAAGATCTATCTATCTAGGTATCTATCTAAAGGGGATATGAATATGCCACGCAAAAAAACCCCCAAAACCAACGCTGAGAAGCAAAAAAAAAAAACAAAACAAAACAAAACCTATGAGCCAGCCCGACTTGATGACTATGCACAATGCAAAAATAAGAATCAAGCAAAGTCAACGAAATAGAAATCATAAAGGGTCATGCGTGCCCATGTTTGCAATCATGAGATGTAACGTAAAAAAACAGCTAAATCGCAGATGCTCCTTCCCATGATTTTGCCTCCCCTCCCCCCCTTCTCCCTCCTCTTTCTATTAACGTGAAATTCTGGCCGCTGACCCCCTATTTACTAAATCCTTCCCAATCTCGCTCCCTTCCAACCCAATTCCAGCCCGATTTGAGACAGGAGGGGACGTCAAGTGACGTCCCGGTAACCAATGTGTAAGCAGAGATCACCAAGTTCTCTACTTAGACCTGATACATGGTGCGCAGTGTCTGGGCCACGGCCGGGGGTAGCTGGCCAAGGAAGTTGCTAAAGTCAGGGATCATGGTCTTATATCCCTGGAGGACCTATATTTATACATCTTGATTAGTATGAGATTACTAATAACCAAGAGAAGCAGATCTTACCTGCTGGAAGGATGCTTGGATATCCCGGTACTCTTCCTGTGCCAGTGAGCGGGCAGGGAACGAGGCAATTGCCTGGAAGTAATCGAGCAGACTCGACTCCATGGCTTGGGGGTTCTTCATCACGATCTGGTTGAACCCGAGGAAAGCGGAGGCCTTTTCACGGGTGAAATCAATCTTGTCCATTGACTTCAGGAAAGGACCGGAACACTCGCCCAAATGGGGCGCAATATGGTCTGCGCAGCAGAATCCCAATCGCCCCAACGCCATCGCAGCGTTTTCATTCACCGAATCGATGATTTCCTCGTTAGTGATAATCGCAAAGAGCCCTTGGTACAATTGCTCCGCATAGGGCGCAAGCGGGGCGTTCTCGTGGACGGCGATCTCGCCGCACGACCAACAGGCGTTGTTCAAAACACTGAAGCCGGTATGACGATCGTCATCGCGAATCAGGTCCAAGTCAAGTTGCTTGATCAAAACCGGGACAAGGGTGGGAAGGAAGGGCTCCAAGTGAGGGAAGATGCTGATGGCGCAGTCTCCTAGCAAAGCGTATGTTGATTGACGGACTTCGTAGTTTTCATCCTCCATGCAGTAGCGAAGGAGCTCGAAGAACGAGGGCTGTGAAGTAGCCACAAGTTCGCCGCTCTTTTGTGGGTCGATGGCCTGGATGATGGCGCTAAGAAGGTCAATGCTAGTAACAAGGAAGTCCTTGTCCGGCTCGTCAGCCGCGGCATGTGTCGGTTGCATAGAAGCTTGCAGGTTTCCGTAGATGATCTTCATGCAGCGGCTGAAGAGGGGAGGTGCGAATTGGGCAAAGTGATCGCCATAGGCTGCTGAAATGTATCCGAGACATTCAAGCAACGGGAAGAGCTCTCGGGAATCATCAGAAATGTAGTTATAGCGACCGATGAGGGCAGGCATCAATATCTCGATTAGGTGGGGTCTTGCCAGCTCGTTCATAACACATTCAGCGAGCGTCTGCACGCAATCATACAAGATGTACATGTTTCGGTCCTTGTACTTATTGAAGCACGCCACAAACTGGCGCAAGATAGGCTCGCAATAGGGAGCCAGGTTATCCTCGGCCTTTTCCTCCAAGCTAGCAAACGCTGACGCGGCAGCTTCCTGGACCTTCTTGTTGTTATCCAACATGCGATGAAGAATACCTTCCATCATGGGTTCAAAGAATTGGGCTTTCTGAGCTGGGTCGCGGAGGTGGGCTGCCCAGCCGGAATAACGGGCCAAGCACCAGCAAGTAATTTGTCGCACAACAGGCTGGTCATCATTGAGGAGTGAGATCAGGTAGGGGACCAATTCTGGGAGATGGGGAGTGATGGCATCCATACAGCCATCCGCCACTGCACCTAGTGTAAGAACAGCAGCCTCTCGGTTCGGCCACCGCTCATGGCGCAGGGTTTCGGTCAAATACGGCAGGAGGATTTCAAAGACAGGACGGTGGTAAACAGTGGAGAAAACATCAAGCGCAGCAGCAGAGCACTTGCGCAAAGTCCAGTTACCCGAGGGGTCATCTCCGAATTCCGAGTCCTCGATTTCACCTTCACTCAAGTCATCATCATCATCAACCTCCTCTACCTGTTGTTCGAGGTCGCGAGAGGAGACTGACTGTTCACCTGACTTGTTCATGTTCAGACGGTCCGCCTTCGATTTGGCGAACTGTGGCTTTAGGTCCTCGGCGCGATCCTCGGCGTCGGCATCATCTTGCTCCTCCATCAGTCGAGCCACTTCCTCGTCGTCGTAGATCATATTTTGCAGAAGAACTGGGATGATCTTGTGCATGTAGGGAGCCAATTCGGCCTGCAATAACTCTTGCTCTCCAGCTCCAATCCAAAACTCGGCAGCATCAAGTGCAAGCTCGGAGTCGTCCTGGGACTGCTGCTGCATGATGATGTAGTTGACCAATCCTTCCATATGCGGGGCCAACTTTTCCGGTGCAGTCTCCACGAGTTGGGAGAACGACTGGCACACCATTTGTCGGACTCTGGTGTTTTCATCACCGGCAATTCTGAACAACTGGGAAAGGAATTGATCGAGCGAGGCCACCAATGCCTGGGGTTTGAACGGCAAGAAAACATGGATGGCGTTAAGAGAAGCAATCCGAATGCGCGGGTTTTCGATCGTAATAAATTGTAGCAAACTGGGAATGATAACATCCAGGGGACGTTGGCCCTGATAGTCACGATCCAGGACCTTGCGGTTGTCCTCACAGACCTTGTACAATGTATCCATCGCAGCTTCCCTAGCTGACATGGGAACATCCCCATTGGCATTAGCAACGGTAGTCAACAGTTCATTGACAATCTCAGGCCAGGACAAGAGGCCACCGTGAAGCACCATTGCGGTGATGATGTTACCGGCAGCCCTCGAGACATTGCGGTCGGTGTCGCGCAGTGTAACCAGAGATGCGGACTTGATAAAGGCCAAGCTTTCACGGGAGATCGTGCTGTAAGCAAGGGCAATCTTCGTCTTGACGTTTACGGCGGCGGCAAATCGAACAGTAGGGTATTCATTCTCGTTAATGGCTGCCAGGGGAGCAGCTTGCGGATTGGAAAAGATGTAAGTGATGTAATTGACGTAGTCAGGGGAAGAGGTCGCTTGTGCGAGCATCTATTAATTAAAAAAAATCCAAGGTTAGTTTCCATCTTGCGGTAGTGCATTTGCGGCGACCGCCGTTGAGAAGCTCAATAGGACAAAAAAAAAAAGGAAAGGCATTACCTGTTCAGCCTCCGCACGGGCGGGAAGGTTGGCTCCATTGAGTGAGTCGCGAAGGTAGCGAGCCAACTGCCTCAATGGCTCTTGTTGAGGTTGCC